GGGGGGGGGGCCCCCCCCCCTCACACCGCCCGGAAAGGCAGGGGGGGGGGTCGCATCTGGGACCTTCTTGCCCCCCCCCCTCCAGCCAGGTGCTGCAGTTCTCAAGTCTCCCTCCTGATGGGCTTTACTACAACTCCTACTACAACTCCCATCATCCTGTGCCCATGGAGGCCAAACGATACCAGGTCAGAGAGGTGGGATGGGTGGGGGGCTGCTTTAAACACCCGGATCTCAGTAATCGAGGTCTCCCCCCCCCCCCATGCTTTGCGGGCAGTTTGAGGTGGGAGACCCCCCCCCCCTTTGCAGGGAAGCGTATGGGGGCCCCGTCTTGGAAAGCTTTGCAGGGAGCCCCCCCCCTCCCCACTGCTTCTGCTGCTGCTAGGGGCGCCTCTCGGGGGTCCCTGGTGTGGCCAGGGCGGAGGCTGCAGGAGACCCCCCCCCCTCAGAGTCGCGGGCTGGTGCAACGCGATGGCCACAGCTGACTCTGAGACCATTGATTAGAATGAATGAGCTGGAAGGGACCTTGGAGGTCTTCTAGTCCAGCCTCCTGCTCAAGCAGAGAACCTATCCCACTTCAGATAAGGGACTGTCTCAAGCGGACCCCGCCCGGCCCTTCTCCCATGCTCAGGAGCCTTGCCAGCGCTCTGCTTATCCTCAGAAACCCAGCACTTTCCCCCAAGACAGATGAAGAGAGTTGGAAGGGACCCTGCAGGTCATCTAGTCCCACCCCCTGCCCAAGCAGCTGACCTGCGCCCTTTCAGACAAACGGCGGTCCAAACTCTTCTTAAAAACCTCCAGTGTTGGAGCAACCACAGCTTCTGGTGGCAAGCAGTTCCCCTGCTTAATTGTCCTCACTGTTAGGAAATTCCTCCTCCGTTCTAAGTTGCTTCTCTCCTTGATTAGTTTCCACCCATTGCTTCTTGTCCTGCCCTCGGGTGGCTTTGGAGAAGAGCATCTCTTCTTTCTGAGATATTGGAGCCACAGAATTGGAGGGCTGGGAGGGACCCTGGAGGTCTTCTAGTCCAACCCCGTGGCCAAGCAGGAGACCCTTCAGCTCCCACTATGGCGCGGACGTAAAGGCGAAGTGGGGGGGGGTACGTCCGCTCTGCGGCAGAAAGGAGGGGGAGGCAAGCGGGGGCGGGGCCTGGAGGGCGGGGCCGGAGGGGCGGGGCCCGGCTCCCTATATCCCAGCACCGACCGGCTGCTCCAGGGACGGGGCTCCTCTCGAGGCCCTCTAGTCGCTCCTCCTCCTCCGCCCCCTCACCCGACGGCCGCAAGGATGTTCGTGGGCTTTGACACCCCCAGCGACTGCCCGGAGGCGGCGGCAGCAGCAGCGGGAGACCCTCCCCAGCCCTCCCCCTCGCCGCCAAGCGAAGGGTCCCCGCCGCCGTCGGAGAAGGTGAAGCGGCCCATGAACGCCTTCATGGTCTGGTCCCGCGGGGAGCGGCGTCGGATAGCGCAAGCCCACCCCCAGCTTCACAACTCGGAGATCTCGAAGCGGCTGGGCGCCGCCTGGAAGCTCCTAGACGACCACCAGAAGCAGCCCTTCCACGACGAGGCCCGACGGCTGCGGGCGCGGCACCTGCGCGACCACCCCAACTACAAGTTCTCTCCGCGGCGGAAGAGCCGCCCCGCCCGGCAAGCCCCCCCTGCTTGCCCGCCGAGACCCCCGACGCCCCTCGGCTGGCCCGACGGTCGGAAAGCCCCCTGCTCCTCCTACGACGTCTTCCGAGGAAGCCCCGGGGGTCCCGGGATGGCTCCGGCCGGCGGCTACGTGTTTCAGACCGGCGCGGCCCCCTACAGGTGAGGAGGGGTCCTCTCGGCTCCCCCCCCCGACGGTCCCAGGCGCCCTTGAGCTCCCAAAACGCCTTTTTGGGGGGAGAGGAGGGGTCCCCAAACCGGCTGGTTGAAGCACTTGCCCCCATGGACCCCCCTCCCCGCCTCCACGAACAAGGGGGCCGTGGGGACCCCGATGCCTCTTGCAGGGCGTGGGGGGGGGGCGCGGCTGCTCCAGGGACGGAGGCCTCGCGAGGCTCTCTAGTCGCGCCTCCTTCTCTGCCCCCCCCCCCGCCCGGGCGGAATGGTGTTTTACGGCCTGGAGGCGGCCCCGAGGGGCTTGGTGGGGGGGGGACACTTAGCGAGGCCCTTTTCTGCCTCACCTGCCCCCAGGTGCGACCCACAGGTTCCGAGGAGCCTCCTTGGCGTCCGTCCCCCCCGACGGTTCTCCGCCTTTTGCCGGCTGCCTCGCTTCTGTTGCGCCACGAGTCGGGCGTGCCCGCGGTGCCAGTTGCCCCTGGGCGCTCTCTGGCACCAAATATATATACCCCCCCTCCGCTCCACCTGTCGCGGGTCAAGCCCGGGCTAAAGCGAGCCCAGGAGCGACTCGGCTGTGCCAGGAGCAGCACCCGGGTGGCACGCCCTCCCGTGGCTTAGGCAAAGGGCAGCCCTTTGCCCCTTCTGGCTTCCCAGGGGTGGGTGGGAAGCCCCTTGGGCCCCTTCCCCAGCAGCTCCGGCAGGCCTGAACAGGTTTGGGGGCTCCTGGCCAGAACTGGGGGAGGAATGCGGCTCCGTGCCACCCATGCCCACCTCCCCCCCCACAGCTTTCTTCTCACAGGTGCAGGGCTGGNTCCCAAAGGGGCTTTTTTTTCCAGGAGGCCCCTGGACTTTCTTGGTTTTTTTCTTCAAAGAAGTTTTGCTTCTGGTCCCAGAAACTTGTGGTGGGGAAGGGGAGAATGGGGTGGCAGCTGAAGAGCCGAAGAAACTTCTGGGATGAGAAGCGAAAGGTCTCCGTAAGGAAACACCCAGACAGCCCAGTTGCCTCCTGGAAAAAACGACAACCCTTTGGTGCTGGGTGCTTCTAAATTCTCTTCCTCCCCCCTTCCTCTCCCCCCCCCAGCTGCTCCAATGAAAACGTGCACAAGGAATTCAAGAAGGCGGTGGGGGCAGACTCCATCTTCCTGAGCCCCACCAGCAGCGAACTCATCATCCTGGTAAGAAGCCACTGCTCTCTGTGTGTCTGTGTACCGTGTGTGTGTGTGTGGTGTGTGCTGGGGTACCGTCAGCCCAAAGCCCAGTCCAGCGGAAGGACCCGGTGCAACATTCTTCCCCTGAGGAATGCCCGGGACAGGCAGTCCTCGACTTAACGACGATAGTTGGGCCCCCAAAATTTCCATTCCTAAAGCAAAAACGGTTGTTCAGTGAGTGACGCCCCAATTTTACAACCTTTCCCCCCCACCCCATGGCTGTTCAGCGAATTGCCACCGTCATTAAGCGAATCGTGCGGTCTTTAAGCGAATCCAGCTTCCCAGCTCAGGAAAGCAGCCGGAAAGGGAGTCACAGGACTCCCCGGACACTGCGACGGTCGTAAATACAGGCCAAGCACCCAAATTGGGAACACAGAGGTGCTGGAACGGTCATCAGTGTGAAAAACCCATCATGAGTCCCTTTGTCCAGGGCCGTCGTAACTCCGGGCGGTCAGTAAACAATTGGTTGTAAGTCAAGAACTACCCCTAGTAGTTGGCTAAGGACTGCTCTTGACTGACCTCCGCTGGCCGCGTGTAGAAAGGCTGTTAAATTCGGAAATAACTCCGTTCAAACTTCCTAACATTCGCGAATGTTGGTCAGGATCCCAGATCTCTTTGATTCCAGCATCAGAATAATAAGAATAAAAGATTCCTAAGGCACTGAGGACTGTCAGCTTGTGTCTCCTGACCTTTAAGGTCACCTTCCTAGTGGCCATCACCTCGGCCAGGCGCATTTAGCATAGCAATAGCAATAGCCGTTAGACTTATATACCGCTTCATAGGGCTTTCAGCCCTCTCTAAGCGGTTTACAGAGCCAGCATATCGCCCCCACAGTCTGGGTCCTCATTTCACNGCCCCCCCCCCTTTGGAAATCCTGCTCCTGCCTTACCAAATTCAGGCTGGCACCTTAATTCCTGGAGGGGGCAAAGCTGACACCTCACGTCTCCCTCCCCGAGGAGAAGGGGCTGGGCCATTAATTCCTGCCTCCCCTCTGCCAATTTTACACCTAGAAAGAGCCCACCTGAGGTCTTGCGGGGGGGGGGGGTATTAACCTTAGAGCGGGGGTCTCCCACCTTGGCAGACTTTAAGGACTTCAACTCCCAGGATTCCCTTGGCGATGACATCAGGGTGTACACGCCCAGTTTATGCCTGCTTAGTCTCCTGTGGTCCCTTCCGTTGCAAACTCTCTCCAGTGGGAGGAGAGGGGGGGAAGCAAAAGTCCTGGGGAATTCTGGGAGTTGAAGTCCGCACATCCTCAAGCACAGCGGGGCACACGCCTGCCTTGGGGGCAGCAGGCAAGGGAGCGCCCCCCCCTTCAAAGCTGTCACCTGCGCCCCCTAAACTATCATTTATGAAGGCGGCTCCGTGTGTTGCAAGCCCGCTTCGTTTTTCTTCCCAGGGTTCGCTCCCCCAAACGCTCCCTCTCCCCTTCCCCGGATGGGACTAAGCCCCCTGCCCTTCTCTCTTGCCCGCAGCATGCTTTACGGCACGCCAGCCCACCCGGCGGTCGCCACGATGCCAAGGAAGTCCGACGGCGGTCTGGGCAACTTCCCGGAGACGATGGGCATTTACGGGGTGCAGGGCTACGCCTCGGAGGCCGCCGCTCCCGGCTTCCTCCCGGAGTACCCGCTTCAGCAGGCCCTGGGCTTCAGGAGCGCGGCCCCCTTCTAGCGAGCAGACGAACACCCCCCCCCCCAACTCCAGCTGCAGGCAGCATTTCGGGATTACGTCGCACAAGCCGAGGGGAACCAGGACGGACAAAAGTTTGGGGAGAGGCGCAAAGACATTCCCCCCCCACCCCATAATTTGGGAAATAAAGAAGTGGAGGGGGGGGACTTCCGGACCCAAACTGTGTGGCGATTGCTAGCATGAAGAGTTTTTTAAAGGAGTACAAAGTTTTTTATAAGGTATATATATATATATATATGAACCAAGTCTTTTTTTTAATATAAACCACCAATAAAAGCTTGTTTAAGAGAGCAGCGTTGGAGTTCAAGCTGATTTACAGCCCCACAAGACCTGGGGGGGGGGAAGCCCACCCTCACCCCCCCCACTCTGGCAGGGGAGAAGGGAGGGGACCCTTTGCCCTGAGTTAAGGCACCTTGCCTGGCACAGCTGGCTGCCAAACCCCTTGGGAAGATGGCACAGCCAAGGAAGCTGGGGAGGAGGAGGAGGGGGGGGAGGCTGCTAGTCTCAGCTCTCCCCCCCCCATATTTGCTAGGGGGAGATCCAGGCCCCTGGGCTGCCTTTTTCGGATGGCTTGAATCCATGCTCCCCCCCCCTCCCCCAGGCAGCTGTGTTGAGTCACCTGCCCTCCCTCCCTGAAGGGGGAGGGCGGCTTCTCTCCCTAATCACCCCAATTTAGCCTGCCAAGAGGCCCATGTTCCACACCCACCCACCCCAGGGCAAGGAGAGGGGGCAGAAACTTCCTTGGGAGGGGGGAGCTGTTGTGCTTTGCAAGGGAGAGGAAGAAGGGCAAGACAAGGAACCAATCGGTTGCAGCTTCTTTGTTTTCAAAAAGGGGGGGTTAGCGAGGAAAGAACCCCCTTCCCATCCCCTACACCCCCCAAATGAAAGAAAGCCAGCAGCCCTGGCTGAAGCTCCACTGCGCTGCGTGGGGCATTAAAAACTCCCCTGGGAGCCCCTTCCCTGGGCTCAGAATGCAGGAAAGGAGGGTGGGTAGCGGGCATCCTTGAGGTCAGCCGGCGGGCATGGCCGCCCCGCGGGTGAGGGTGGGCGTGCAGCAGGCCCGGTCACTCTTCCTTGAGCCTGCCCGTAGCGTTCCAGTAGTACAGCACCTGTCCCAAAATGAGGCTGTGGCAGGCCAGGGAGACGACGTACGTCAGCACCATTAGGAGATCCCCCGTCTCCTGCGAAGAATAGCAATAGCGATAGCAGTTAGACTTATATACCGCTTCACAGGGCTTTCAGCCCTCTCTAAGCGGTTTACAGAGAGTCTGGGCCCTCCTTTCCTTCCTTCCTTCCTCTTACCATCCTTTCCTTCCTTCCTTCCTTCCTTCCTTCCTTCCTTCCTTCCTTCCTTCCTTCCTTCCTTCCTTCCTTCCTTCCCTCTTCCCTTCTCAAGGAAGAGCCCTTAGACTTAAATACCGCTTCGCAGGGCTTTTACAGCCCTCTCTACGCGCTTTGCAGAGTCGGCATACAGAGTCAGGGATGCTGGCTGGACAGTCGTTAACCGAGGACCAGGGAATCTCAAAGGATGCCTTCTTGTTTCCAGGCTCACTCTCAGCCTTTCAGGTATTTACAGACCATCCCCCACTTACAACCGTTCGCTTAGCGACTCTTCTAAGCTACGGCGCTTGGAAAAAAAGTGACCGATGACCGTTTTTCACACCTACGTGGGCGTGGCCAGCCTATTTGCCGGTTCTCCGAACTACTCAAAATTCCCGCTGCCGGTTCTCCGGGACTGGCTGGGTGCCAATGAGTCCCTCCCGCGATTTAGGTGCCTCAGCCTTACCTGGATGGACGTGAAGATCCGTGCCAAGGATCCCGCGAAGAGCAGGAAGGTCGTGATGGCCGAGAGCTGCCCTGTGTGGCCGTTACGGTAATTGGTGGCTGCTTGTAGGAGCTGTTGGAGAGAGGAAGCCTCGTCAGACGCCAGAGCCGGCTGGCCGACGTCAGAGGCCACACCACTATCGCCGTTTCATGGAAAGCCCCTCTCCCCCCTCTGATCTGGGGGGGTGGGGGTGGCCCCACTTACCCTGCTTGTGGCGGCAGTGGGCATGTTGGACACCTGAAGCGTAGTCACGACCGCCGGCGGCGTAACCGGAGAGAGCAGGAAGGACAGGAGGGCGAAGTAGGTGAAGAGGAAGGCCAGGCCTGCGCAGAGAGGGTGGCGACATGATGCTCAGAGCCCCCCCTCCCCTCATTCCCTGCCCCCCCCACACCCTCCCCCCACGGAGGCCTCTTGTTCGGACCCCCGTGGCAGAGGAGGCACAAGGACGGTGGGAGGCCGGAGCGTTTTTCCTAAGCATCCCACTGGTTTCCCCCCCCCCCCC